GGAACGAATTACGAAGAAATGTTGAGAAATAAGTGAAATGTGAAGAGATGCGACGACTGCCAAAGGCATAAGCACTAGATCATAAACAAGGAACCATGGAAATGTACATGGATGAAAATGGAAACAGATATACTGACGTACAATGCGAATTAAGCAACTACGTAGAAGAATATGTAATAGAAAATGAAACAGTAGCAAATCATTGGTAGAAAAGTTTATCTTGAGGTATGGAGTACCCAGAAAAATAATAGCAGACGAAGGCACAGATTTTATAGCTAGAATAATTAAGGAAGCAATACTTTGCTACAATTAGAGTCAATGAATATACTCGTAATATATACATGTACTTTTGAATGCAAATAATATATAGAGATTATTTTAAATGAATATAATGTGTAAATATAGTTTTAAGTTCGTACAAAATATATGTTTTTAAATGTGTATAGCAAAAAGAAAAATGTTAGACTGATAGTAATAAGTAGGTAAACAAAATAAATAGGGATAAAAGAATAAATAGATAAAATGACAAAACTTTATTGTGAGATGTCAAAGTGACTAATCGTGTATATGTGAAAACAAAACAATTACTTGGTACCAAGAATCATTACAAGAATTAATGCAAGCATTAATATAAGAATTATTATAAGATTTTATTATTATAAACTTATTTATTATGTAAAATATGTAAAGGTTATTGTAAAAATTATGTGCACATAAGAGGGGTAATAAAGGTAATATAATCTAAATAATTTAACGTAAGGTAAGAAAAAACGTACTTAAAATATTGAACTAATATGCGAGTAAGGCATAATGAAGGATACCAGATAGCATATCACAAGGAAACAATTAGGGTAACCTTATAATATGCTGAGGTAAGGTTAGGTTACTAAATTTTTACTAAATGTAAGGAAATATATACCAACATTTGTATAAATATGTATACGGTAGCATAGGTAAACAGTACTTATTTGAGGTTGCAAAATTTCTCTTTTTCCAAAGGGAAAGAGAGAGGAATGAGACAGTTGCAAAAGAGAAATTTTTTCCGTAAGGGGGATGGTGTGGTGTAATTCCCTAAATATTAGAATTCACATATATAAAATATTATAATTCATACCCGTGTAACATTTAACATTCTGTTTATATAAATATATTTAGTAATTTGAATCGAGGACATTCATAAATAACATACTCTAATTAGAACTGGTAGTCAGCACTATTGTCGATCACCACATGCTTGGCGTAGGTCATGAACAAACTTGACATACTAATAAGTAAACATTTGCTGATATAGCAAGAACTACTATAAAAGCCCCAACAATCATTCTCTCAGGGATCTTAATTAATATACCGACACTATGGCCAGTAAGGCATCATCTATCGTCATCGTCAATTAAGTACTGATATATTTAAGATTAATTAATAGTAAAAGATTGTACAAGCAGTGATTAATAAATGGGCAACTAAGTTACAACAAGTTATTTACCACCCCACAACATTATTTATTACAATATGGATGAAAGTAGTTGGTCTTAAGTATTCTACATACACTAGTCTGACTACTTTCTAATTCACACGAAATGTTTCTTGTACTAATGTTTGGGTTTTCCGTAATAGAAAGCAGGACATTAAGTTCGTTAACGCTGTCACCAATAACTGGTTTATTTTTATTTACCTTTTCGTATGCAACATTACCAGTAGCACGGAATCTATTAAGCAATCTCTCAAAAACTTTTTATGTGTTCGATCCGGATACTTTGGAACATAAACTTTAGAAGCTAAGAGATAATTTTTCAAACATTCTCCAATGCAAAGTACCATGTCAACTCTTTCATGGATATCGTAATTCTTTATTTTTAGGAACAATGAAAGTTAAATATTACACACGAATGTTTATATTTTGACAATTACCAGACCATAATGTCAGAAAATGACAATGGCATACAATATCTTTTGTTTTAAAATCAATATACCGATGAAGAGTTTAAATAATTGTAAATTACGCAATAACTATGAGACTTAAGTATAGGACATCTTTATACCGTTCAAAAGAGAAAACTTTTTTTAGTATACGTGTTCATGGGACTTTTCATTGTGTATAATATAGGATTTTTAGGTCAGTCTTGCAACAGTGTGTAGTTGCAACCTGTAAGACTAATGGACTCGCCCGAGTGGCAATGTAAAAGGGGAGTAAGGTTATAGAGAGAAGTTGTTATAATGGCAGAAATACCATAGCATTGTAAATTTGTTCGGTTGAATAAAAAGTTGGAAATATCAGTTGGCATATTGATTTTGGCAAAGAAAACCTACGTTAAGAAAAGTTAAAGTTATTAGCGTAATCATTACGATTAATTAATATCCTTGGTGATATATTTAAATTAAGCCTCATATTAGATATTAAATAATCCAAAATTGAAACTAAGTTTTTAGCACCCTGTAAATAAATGTTTAATAATAATCAATAATGGAATAAATCTAGCCATTATCCAACTATTTCGCTGTAAGAGAAAATTTGTTATAATTACTTAAATAAGTCGAGAATGAGTCTTCTTAAGGCTGTTTTATCGGTGCACCAAAATTTTTTTCTCTGTTATTTACCGACGGAATGTCTCGAAATTTGGACATGTTATACGAAATTATGTTGCCTTTAAACTGATGGTTTTACTTTTTTTATTTTTTGAATTTTCTGTTGAAAAATTGGATTATACTGTTTAACGTTCTATTATAACCAAACTTTTCACGCCCATCAGTTGAAAGAGTTTTTTTTTTCTGTAATCGTTGATTCTTTTTTCACCTTTCTGTGTCCAGTAATAATCGAGAAAAGCGTATTCAAACTTTGAAGAAAATTGCTAAAAAATACTGAAATCTAATAGTGAAACGTGTTCCTCATCATTGTCGCTGAGCTTGATCGTTATCGCATTAGTGACGTCAAATCTCATGAGCGTACGGTACGGTCTTATTTTTATTTCTCTATGGGTACGGTCAGTTAGTTCGCTTGAATTAGAATCCATTTTAGTTCTTTCATTCTTGTATTTTCTTTATCAACTTGCTTAGTTTTTACAGTTTACAGTATTCTTATTTATTTTGAAAACATTGAAATTATTTAGTTTACGTGTATGTTAAGTAATATATTATTAGTTTAGTGGTATAAGTTAAAAGTTCTTTAGTTTACGCGTATTTTTAAGTATTACATTAGGTTAGTGATATAAGTTATAAGAGACAAGATAAAAAATGAGTCCAGTAAACGTCCTATGTCAGGGAAAAGGAGAGCAATTGCACTGCGTTAGTATTTATTATTTATATTACAACTGTTTTTAAAAGCTTTTATTTAAACTTATATAATATATATATATATATAATATAATATATATATATATATATATATATATATATATATATCTATTCAAGGTTTGAATAATCATTCTCCATTTTCATGCAACTTTTCTAATATGGAGATTATCAAAGAAAAAATGGACGGATTGATAAGTACATTGACTTTTAAATGTCAAATGTGGAATATTGAAAAGGAGATAGCAACATAGGATTCTGGTAACAATTCACTGAACTTGAATGGTTCTGGTTATTCAGACATACAGCAGCAGCACGCTGCATTAAATATACCTGTGATTTCCTACAGGCAGTATGCAAAACATACGGAAACAGTTGCAGATATCATCGGCCAAACACTTTGTGATTCCTTAGAAGAGGCTGGACGGGAGGAATTAGCTTTAGCCAAAGAAATTGGCGAAGTAGATTCCGACGGAAATGGGTTAATAACCGTTATAGCTGATGGTGCTTGGTCAAAAAGATCGTTATAAAGTAAACTACGATGCTTCTTCAGGTGTAGTACCTGACGTAAAATTTATTAATTAGTACGCCTTTGATGGATAGGACATGTAATTAGGCGAGATGAAGATGAAACGATCAGAAAAATTTTCGACCGAAGAGGACCAGTGGGAAGACGATCCAGAGGAAGACCAAAACTTAGGTATCAAGATAACATAGGGGATGATCTAAAATCCATCGGAGTTAAAGCATGGAGAAAGTTGCCAGAGGCAGGGCGAATGGAAGATTGTTCTGAGAAGACTTTGGCTCATGACGAGCTGTAATGCCACTGATATGATGAAATAACTATCCACGATTTGTGTTTTATTCATCAATTGGATACTTTTCTTATGTAACTGCAACCTATAAATATATTAAAATAATGTATATTCCATTCAGAGAACATTTTCGTCGCAGTGCGTCGCCTCGAAATACTTGCCAGATAAATACATTTACTATTATGATGGTTTCGCAGGTACCAATTTTTTATAGATAAATAAAAATATTTTTTGTTTAATTTTTACTACGCCAATATCAGTTTTCTCTAACAAAATTAACAAAATAATAATTATATATTAATATTAATATAACAAAATTTAAATTTATTATAAATAAACACCATTGTGTTTTTTGCAGTCACGTTTCACAAATTTTTATTTAATACTATGTTTAGCTAAGACATATAAATTAAAAATGTGATTAATTCTTTTTAAAACATTATCTACGATAATTAATCTAAAAAAAAGTATTCCGACAAAACTAATTTGAATGGAGAATAATGCATTTATTTTAAACAACCCGTGGGCCGGCGCCACTGAATAAACATAGAAACTATTAGGAAGTCACGTAGGGTCTGACATAGCAGTGTAGAAAAGTAAGTGATACGCCCACTTCAAATCGCAGTATGCTATAACTGCGAAAACAGCCTTAAAAAAAATTTTTTTGCTTGTCTTGAGTAAGTTATGGTTTATTTTGTATTATTTGTTTTATTAAAATTCTTTCTGATTAGCCGTCAGCTGATTCGATTGAACTGTTAGTTCCAATTCCAATCCAAAGCCACATATTCATAATGGATCTTGTACTCTTATAGTGTATCTCGAATCATTGACTCGATTACTTACTAACTACTAACTAATTAACTAGACATTATTGTAATACATATTAACATAATTGTTTACCTTGTACTAGTGGGTGTGCCTCTGTCTGATACAAAACCCATTGGACATGTAAATGTTATACTACTACCATCAGCAATGTCCGTGCAGTCTATATATTGATCTTTGGAGTTTTTGCATAATAATTGTGTTCCGGTCGGTAACGAAGGTTTAGGGCAGACTCCTAAAATGAACATAAAAGGTGATTTTTAATAATTTATTTATTGTTTAAGTCATGGGTATTGAAATGATCATAGTCGGCATTATTGTTCTCTTTATATTTATCGTTAACGTTTTAGCCTTTGTTGGACTTTACACTATACTCTAAGTAGCAATTTGATCCACTGCCGTTTGTTATATCCTGATATTAATTATAATGTTTGCGCTTACTATGTCCTTATCTTTTTAGTATACTTTTTTTTATTTTTGTAGGTTGATGACATATTTTTCCTTGATGTCGTCTACATTTATTCTGATTTCTTAATAGTAAATAACGTGGATTATTCCCATCAACCTTACACAGCAGACACATCGCTGTAATAATTGTGACATTTTACAATTAAATATATCAAACATATAAATATGTAATAAACTAAAAGCCATGTATGAAGACCGATAACCAATTAAGCAATAATCAGTGGGCCTCAAACAGTGGCTTTAAAATTTAATAATTCCAATCACTTAAAAAGTAAATGATTTAATTTTCTATATTTTATGTTTGATAAGAATGTTGAATTTTGTTCTAATAAAGGCAAATTAACTAAGTATCATATTTACAAATGTGAACTATTATGAATTATGCTAATAGTCCAGTAAAATGTTATATTTTTCACAAGACGCAATTTTGTTTTTTGATGTGAGGGGGCGGTTAGTGTAAGCTTAAGTTCAAGTTTGTGGGGTTGCCACAAACCTTGTCCCCCGCCGAGATTTTGGAACAAAGAGGGCAAATGGTTTTCACGCTGTACCTAGTAAATTTGCAACCCTACAGAAAATTGTATTTAACTCTATTTCTAGCAAGTTAAATTGTCTATAACTTTATTTTTATTATAATTTTTGTAGGCTTACAGCACTCCGTAAGTGACCGGGTTTTGGAATACTCATAAGAATACGATAAAAAGGAACCATTAGGCTTAGTTTTTTATTACCTATGTTTTTATTCATATAATTTATTATTTTGTTAACATTCCTATGGAATTATTAGTTTATTATCGACCTTTTTCCCGACCACCTATGAGGTAGAGTCTGGAGGCGCGTTTTTTAAGTGGTATCCCTATTAGGCCTAATTCACTGACAATTTCTAGGCAAAATATTATTGAGCATAATTATATATTTTAAAAATTTATTCTGCAGCTACTGTTAATTCATTTTCTTTGATGGTCGAGGCTGCGGTTTAGGATCTAATTCAGTATCGAACGTGAAGGTTTGAGAAAGGACGGAAGTTTGAGTTGGCGTCATTGTGGAATGTCACTGCAGCTTTCACCTAAACAATGATGACACACTGCAGAGCATTTGAGGCTTCTTTGGCGGCAACCACACATACTTTCATAGTTTTACTTGCATCCGCAGAAAATTAATTTCAAAAGTTCGGGGTGTGCTGGAGTTTTAAAAGTTTTGATTGGTGTCCGAATTTTTTTGAGCTTCTTTGACCCCCCTTCCTTAAACTACCCCTTTCCTAATGCCGGGATTAAGACAGTTCCAGTATCATATGATTGGAATATAACAAGAGCAGAACGGACGATAACTGTATCTGCATCAGATTCAGCCTGGTCGACACTAAAACCGACTTCTGATAACAGTTTTGATAAGCTCTATTAAGTTTGTTTTGTATTTTTTCATTACCAAGAAATTTATCTTAAAATAATAACCTTTTAATGTGAGTTAGTTTTGTGGTGGCGAAATGGGTTGATAATAAATTAATAGTAACATAGGAAGATGTCACTCCTTATTTCAAGATATATTCAAGACCCGGCCAAGTTCCAAGCGCTCTGATATAAAAAAAATTAAAAAAATTAACGAAATTAAAGAAATTAAAGAAATTACAGAAATTAAAGAAATTAAAGAAAATTAAAGAAATTAAAGAAATTAAAGAAATTAAAGAAATTAAAGAAAATTAAAGAAATTAAAGAAATTAAAGAAATTAAAGAAATTAAAGAAATTAAAGAAATTAAAGAAATTAAAGAAATTAAAGAAATTAAAGAAATTAAAGAAATTAAAGAAATTAAAGAAATTAAAGAAATTAAAGAAATTAAAGAAATTAAAGAAATTAAAGAAATTAAAGAAATTAAAGAAATTAAAAGAAATTAAAGAAATTAAAGAAATTAAAGAAATTAAAGAAATTAAAGAAATTAAAGAAAAAAAATTAAAGAAATTAAAGAAATTAAAGAAATTAAAGAAATTAAAAGAAATTAAAGAAATTAAAGAAATTAAAGAAATTAAAGAAATTAAAAGAAATTAAAGAAATTAAAGAAATTAAAGAAAATTAAAGAAATTAAAGAAATTAAAGAAATTAAAGAAATTAAAGAAAATTAAAGAAATTAAAGAAATTAAAGAAATTAAAGAAATTAAAGAAATTAAAGAAATTAAAGAAATTAAAGAAATTAAAGAAATTAAAAGAAATTAAAGAAATTAAAGAAATTAAAGAAATTAAAGAAATTAAAGAAATAAAGAAATTAAAGAAATTAAAGAAATTAAAAGAAATTAAAGAAATTAAAGAAATTAAAGAAATTAAAGAAATTAAAGAAATTAAAGAAATTAAAAGAAATTAAAGAAATTAAAGAAATTAAAGAAAATAAAGAAATTAAAGAAATTAAAGAAATTAAAGAAATTAAAGAAATTAAAGAAATTAAAGAAGTTAAAGAAATTAAAGAAATGAAAAAAATTAAAAAATTAAAAAAATTAAAGAAATTAAAGAAATTAAAGAAATTAAAAAAATTAAAGAAATTAAAGAAATTAAAGAAATTAAAGAAATTAAAGAAATTAAAGAAATTAAAAAAATTAAAAAAAAAAGAAATGAAAAAAATTTAAAAAAATTAAAGAAATTAAAGAAATTAAAGAAATTAAAGAAATTAAAGAAATTAAGGAAATTCAAGAAATTAAAGAAATTAAAGAAATTAAAGAAATTAAAGAAATTAAAGAAATTAAAGAAATTAAAGAAATTAAAGAAATTAAAGAAATTAAAGAAATTAAAGAAATTAAAGAAATTAAAGAAATTAAAGAAATTAAAGAAATTAAAGAAATTAAAGAAATTTAAAGAAATTAAAGAAATTAAAGAAAATTAAAGAAATTAAAGAAATTAAAGAAATTAAAGAAATTAAAGAAATTAAGAAATAAAGAAATTAAAGAAATTAAAGAAATTAAAGAAATTAAAGAAATTAAAGAAATTAAAGAAATTAAAGAAATTAAAGAAATTGAAGAAATTAAAGAAATTAAAGAAATTAAAGAAATTAAAGACATTAAAGAAATTGTTCTGAAGCTATTTTCTTGTGGCATTGTAAATTAATTACTACTTATAACTGGGAATAAGCCACAATTAATAAATAAATTAATTACTATTTATAACTGTGGCTTATTCCCAGTTATAAATAGTAATTAATTAAAGAAATTAAATTAAATCGCCTCTACGATGAGCCTCTAGCTTTGATGATGCATTTTACGGTTAAAAGTAATAGAAATAAAGTTATATGTATACAATTTAATTTGCTACAAATAACGTCTGATTTTTTGTAGGGTTACTTAATAAATAATTTAATCAGTTTTATTTATTAATTTTTCAGGTGATGTTTGCGTTTAAATAACATTTTATATAAGACACCGATTAACCATTTACCTACTATGTAATTACCACTAAGATATTAAATACTACCAGATCATTTTAAGTTTTAACCATCAACAAAAATGTAATATATCATGAAAAGTATGAATTTGACGGTAATACGATCTGCACAGATATCGCCGACGTAGTACATATTTCTCTGTCGATAACAGTTTTTAGATAACATGAATTACTTTTAAGTGATATTTATGTGGATGGAACCTTATTTTTAAATAAGAATATGTTCTTGTAATGTCATAACCTTGATTCTTTGGTAAAACTACATTACACATCACAAGAAATTAAACAAAAATTTTTTAAATTAAACTTGTATAGCAGCGCTGATTAACACAATAGAGCAGTAAAATGTTATACATAAAAATGTTGTAATAGGTATCTTCGCTTACTTAGTCCTGTAGTAATAAAGTTATCAGAACTAAATGGGAATGGATATTGTGTAACGCACAATCTTAACATAAATAAAGGTTAAAATAATTAATAGTAAATTATGAACAAATAACATTTACCAACATTTAATTATAATTCATCATCTGCTAAATTTTCCAAATGATGCAAATCTCCAAATTCTACTCCTTATCATGCTACAAGGCATTTGGTTCTAATGCATTTTTTTCTTTGTATTAACAATATTTTTAATTCTTTATACTTACTGAAACAGGTGGGATGATCATAATAACTTTGACAGTCATAATATGGTGATCTAGTGGACAATACATATCGCATATTACATGAAAATCGTAAGATTGTGCTGGACAATACAATATCACCAGGTTTTTTTTCTATGCCACCTTCAAGAAACCATTTCCCATTTTTTGGATATGCTGGAAGTATGCAGTCTTCTAAGTGATTTTTAGTCATTTCTCTTTTAATAAAAGAGTAGTAGAATGGAACACTAGTATATAAAGCGTTGGTTTGGTAATTACATTGAGCAGTATTTAAATTTGGTGCTATGCTTACTATTCCTTGAAGGTAGTATCTGTAAGGAAAGGGAAACACATTAATGTCTAAATAAATTACAGATTCATAATATATGTATATATATGTATAGAGTATATAACAACGCTAAGAATACAAGGAAGTTGCGGTTTTGTGGGTTCTTAGATTTTAGATTTTTTGTTGTGTTGTATTTGAAAAAATACCCTTTTGTGTTGTAATGTTTTTATAAATGTATTTTTAAATATTTTTAACATGTTTGTGACAGTGTTCTTCACCACAAGGACCAACTGAACATTTTCAATGTGCTGATGAAGGTGACAGCCTATCACCGAAAATTTCACATTTAGAATAAAGTTCTACACCAAACTGGCTTATACCATCTCTAGCCGATCCTTTATTTGACGCTTTCCCGAAAGGAAAGTTACCTATATATATATATTATATATATATATATATATATATATATATATATATATATATATATATATATAGCAAAAATACGACCGTTGATTAAATTTAAAATATATTCAATAGTTGAATAGCAGAGGTTGTATCGGTCAATAATAGGCAAATGAAAGTCGTCAACTACTTCAACTTTTTGTTTTCAAAAGCATCATCAGTTCACTACAAATAAAAATAAAAAGATTTAAAATATAAGTAAATAACCAAAAGGGTTCATACTTACAAAAACAATTTGTAGGTTTTTTTAAAGATGTTAAAAACACTCTACGATAACTTAGCATTAAAAACTTAAAAACTAAACGATAGAATCGAAACAAAAAACACACAAGAAAAAACTGAAAGAGCACTATTGTTTATTTAATTTTTACCGATGTCTTCATCTCAATGTGGGTGTAAGCTCTTTCGAAGATCCAACACAATAATCCCTTGGATTGTTTTCTATCGGTTGTAGGCTGTCATATTTGCACATTTGGTTTGTGTCGTACATATGTTTTTTTGGAAAGCAGTGAGGTACAATTATTAAACAAGTTGGTAAACAGAACGGGGACAGCCTATTTTTCAAAAAGGAATATATATATATATATATATATATATATATATATATATATAATATATATATATATAATATATATTTTCCCTCCCAATTTGTCTTTAAAAAACAAACAAACAAACAAAAAGAAACAAAAAAAAATTTTAGAATAGGGAAAGAAGAAGGGGAATGAAGTTACTATCTTGTAAATGGTTTTTTTTATTATTATTTGTTATGTATGATGAGAGAGTGATATATCTGGCTCAAGTTGTCGATGTCGGTTCTTTTATTTAGGGATGATGGATGTTTAAGAATTTGACACATTTCAAGGATAGAACGCTTATGATAATTTTTTTGTTTGCACAGTATTTTGGTATTAGTGAAGTCGATACTGTGTTTAGTTGAAATGGCATGTTGTGCAAGGGCATAGGATGGTTTTGAAATCCTAATGTCGCTTTTATGGGACGTTAGTCGACCTTGAAGAGAACGGCTGGTCTGGCCAATGTAGCAGGAGTTGCACTCCGCACAGGGTACATGATAGACGACGTTAGTTTGTTCTAGAGGGTAGTATATATATATATATATATATATATATATATATATATATATATATATATATATATCACGAAATACTTTTTTGACTTTCTAAAAATTAATTTATTACAAAAATACAATTATCAGAGTTACGTGTTACAAATACTCGAACTATAAAAATATAATGAATGAACTACACAAATATAATGAACAAACATAAAGAGCGACAAGCGGTTTTATAATATTAGTAAATGCTGAGTCAGTGGAAACGTGTAAAAAGCTTGGGTCCCGCTGACTCTGCTGGTACTGCATGTGCAAGGATCCTTATTGACTCAGGTTGTTGGAAGTGGAAACCTGATACCGTGGGAATCGTCGTGATAAGGAACATTCATTGCTACAATGCATATAACAGCTCCCCCTTTTAGATGAAAGTTGATGCGTGGCAGCAACTTTTAGACTGTCTGTTTATTGGTATTCAGTTGGATTTGCTCTTCTTCGTCTATGGAGTCGCTTAGGTGGATACAGGGTCTTCGTCTTGGAAGGATTTTTCTCCAAAATACTGGTGAAGGCTGTCTCTGGGTGTCTTGGTGGAGAGGGCGGATGGTCATTGTAATTGGTATTGCCAATTCCTATCCTGTATCTTCTCTTGGATCTGCATTTACATAAAACATAAAGAACAACAAGAGTTACAATGATGACTATGGTTAAAATGGTGAACCAGCTTGGATGTTTGTTGACGAATGGTTCATTGATTAGTTTATCGAGTTCTTCAGAATACTGATTGAGTTTGTGATGGGCTATTTCGAGGTCTTCAGTATTGATCTTGCTAAGCTTCATGGTTTTAAGTCGGGAAGATGGATCTTATCTGGGAAATGTTTGCAGCAATTGAACTGGGTGACTTCTATAAGTAACATTGTCGTGGACGTCGATCAATTTCTGAGAGTGTACTCTTGTACTACCAATAAAGGCATCGTACGTGGTTTGTAGTTTAAGTACATGGTTTGTGTAAATAATCTCTAATTTGACGTCTCTGGACTCGCAATTTGATGGTAATAGGCAGTGGGTCAGAAACTGTTATGAGCCACAGATTTATGTTGATCTTCCGGACGTTGTAATCTTTGGCAAATACTACGGAAGTCTGGCATGTTCTGGGAAGGCGTTCTTGTCGTTTCAGAAGTTAGGCTTCGCGTATGGCATCGCTATCGATTATGTATGGAAGTGTGTTATAACAGATCTTGGTTCGAGCTCGCAAAGTTTTGCATGACTCGAGGCTATTTATTGTAAGGTATAACAATGAATCATCGTTTCGCACAATGTATTTATGTATTGTTGTTAGTATTGAATGAAGACCTGTTCGATTATCCAGTATTGGTATTGGATAGAGACGATATAAAGTATATTGTTCTGCATCAGTTAAAGGAATATTTAAGACAAACACAATTCTTGTGTCTAGTTGATAGGCTTGTAATTCGATAATATCGAGATATTTAGCTAGATTTGAAGTATAGATTGATAATGGAAGATTAGTTTTTTGTAATGATTGTGATATATGCCTAAGCAATTCACTTAAATCAAACGGGGTGATGATTGAGCTATGTAATATTTTTAATCGAGCAAAGGTTATGGAATTTACTATTTCATTTAAAGAGTCTTCGATAATTGAATAGCTTTCCATTAGTAATTCACAAAAGTTTAGCATATCGATTTGAGATTGATAGAATTTTAATTGGTCAGAGATATCCATTATTGACTCTCGAATTTCATTAATATTATTGTTGAATGTTTCCTCATCTATTTGTAATTTCCGGATTGTGGCGTTAAAGTTTTTAATAACAGAAGTGGTAACCGATATTTGATTTTTCAATAAGTTTTCGATTCTCATCGCGGGTTATTGTATTTATACATTCGTTGAAATATTCGCCATCTGACGAATCTAAGTTGCCGGTAATTGATTTCCATATCGAACCTATTCCGTTAATAAGTCCGCGTTTTTCTCGAAATGTGTATTGTTTCGTATCAGCCGTTATTTCTGTATATTTGAGATTAACAGAACTAGAGATTTGTTTGAGAAGACTTATGTCATCTGTCAAATAAACGTCAAAGTGTAAATACGAATTTAATAGTTCTCTGCATTTTAAAGTTTAATTTCAGATAGTTTAACATATAATCTTAAGTTGATTTATACATTTTAAAGTTCTCCGCGAATCTTTGTGATTTAGGAAGTGCTAAACAGTTATATTCGATTACCACAGTTTAATACATATACATTAGTACTAGTTTAGTCGTCTAAGGCTCCATTTATGGAGTCTTCTAACGGGGGCGAGCCCCCCGATAAAATGCAAAGGGATCAAGATGCGATGGATGATTGCAGTTATGGTTCCCATGGATTTTTATCCCATCAGCTAGAAAACTTGATAAGTAGTCCTAATAATATTAATAATTTAAAAACCGATAAACAAAGTACCTCACTAAATTCTAATGAGACAGAAAAAAACAGACCTGTATATTTATATGAAAAAACTGATTTAGGGCCATTTCACATTTTTATTGAAAACAATGAAAAAAATTTTACAGGCAAATTAAGTGCAGTTAAGATAGGTGAAATATTGTTTACCGTACATCCGGAAATTGATAATTATATTAAAAAAATTGATTCAATTGGACGCAACCGTATTAGAATAACATTTAAAAACTATGCTAGTGCAAATACCTTAATTACTTCTAAATTGCTCATTCAAAAAAATCTAATTGCATATATTATTCCGAAATTTCAATTATTCAAATTAGGTGTAGTTAGGGATATAGAATCAGATATATCGGAAGAATATCTTAAGGATAGAATAAAAGAATTTGATCATCATTGTAAATTCTCGGTGGATTATGTAAAAAGAATAAAGAGAAAAATAGTAACAGATGATAAAGTAGTTTTTAAACCTACAAAATCGGTAATTGTATCATTTAAATGTCAAAATATACCAAAATATATCGTAATTAACCATGTTTTATAATGTAGAAAAATACCAGCAAAAAGTAATTATTTGCTACAACTGTTATAGGTATGGACACATGAGTAAGCAATGTAAAAGCAACCCTAGATGTCTTAAATGTCATGAGTCCCACCCTTCCGATTCTTGTTCTTTATCATCTTTTAATGAAACATGTCTCTCCTGTGAAGGTAAACACTTCACTAACGAATGGGAGTTATGTCCAGAATTTGACCGTCAAAAAAAAAAATAAAACATTACATGTCTGAAAACAGCTTGTCTTTCAAAGAAACGCTTAAATTATTTCCTAAAGTAACCTATGCATCGATAACAGCTAATAATTCCTCAATAAATTCACATCAAATCCCAAATATGAACGCTCCATCCTTTTCATATTCCTCTACTCAATTGTCCACTTCCCCCTCACCCCCTAACCAGCACGCCCACCCTACAGTTTCAAACAGATATACAATAATAAAACCTCCAAAATCCAAACGACCCCTCTCTTCATCGCAAGACCCAATAGCAATA